CTGGGCTAAGGCTAAGATTTTCTGGGAGGACTAAACCCATCTGTTTGCAAAATTCTTCATTTTTATCATGTGGCGGCAGAATTGCAAAAAAAAGATCAGTCATCAGTAAGTCGTTTTTCAGCAAAAATTGTACGTACGAAGATTAAAAAATAATCTTTTCTGGAGTTTGACTTTGTTGATTAGTCTAGATTTTTAAATTGTATGTTCTTGGGCTCTGAATTTTGCACAACATCCCGATTCTGATGCAGAATGATGAAATTAATAATTAAAAGACATCTAGCTGCAAAATGTGCTTTCTTACGAGGGCTGAAACAAATGATTCAAAGATTGTCTGCAGCGATTGAGCATCTTTAAGATATTTAAAAGCAGTCTGTAAGAAAAAATGTTAAAAGTTGTTTAGGCCAGTGTTTCCCAACCTTTTTGGGCCCACAGACCGGAAAATAGAAAAAAAAATCTGCGGACTGGCGAAGTTTCATAAAATGTTTCAAGAATCAAAACATTTATGATTGGCAGACTTATGGCAGGTACATAACAAGTTTCTGCTCTTTTGCAAACCAATGGAGCAGCTGCATTGGAATGTCTTTTAAAAAACCAGACAAGTGGGCTTGAAGAAAGGTTTCTCATGGTGAAAAATTAAAATAATTTATTTCAGCATGTGAAAATGTGTCCGAGGCTATTAGGAGAAAATACAAATTATATTTTTAAGCAGATAATTTCAACTGCCTTTGTCATTCCAAAATTTCAGATAAAGGTAACAGACTTAATTTCTAATTTTGATAAATTTATTTAGACATATTTCAGCGTTGATCCAAGTAATTGTTTTTAATTTTCAACCTACAAATAAAATGAAGCCACTGTGTAAAGGGAATTACCTGGAAGAGGTGGAGGAGGAGGTGGACCAGCTGCCACAAAAGAAAGTGGTGGTGGAGGCGGAGGAGGTGGTGGTGGTGGCAGTGTCACACTCCTCGTTGCACCAAAATCTATCACAGTCATGGAAGGTAGTGGTGGTGGAGGTGGAGGGATTCCATTCCTCATTGAACCATTGGAAGCATTGTGTTCAACACCATTGTTTTTGAGAGATGAGGTGCCGTCAAACTCTGAATTTGAGATTCTAATGGAAAGATTCTTTAGTGCAGATCCTACGAGGTAATTTTTAAAGCAAGGTTCACCAGACATTTTTCCATTTTGTTGATCAGGAATCTTGACAGCACTGGATG